AGTGTATACTTTTTACTGAAAAAGTTATTTGGAATTTAATTTTACCTCCCTCATAACTTCTTTTCCAATTTCATTTCGCTGAAGTATATTATATAGATAAATTTGAAGAGTGTCGAGAAAATGACTTTAGCAAAGGTTCATTGAAATCGGTACATTCGTTTAGGCGCTATAGTCTATAGCAACATTGGTTTTTCTAAAAATTTTTTTTTCTCCTTTATTAACTTACCAAATTCTTTCAAAAGTAATATTTAGCATTTTTTCGTAACTCTGAATAATGTGAAATGATTAACTTTTTAAAATAAACCATATTAAAGGTACTTTAGAGGAAGACGTATATGAACATTGGGCATTTAAGCCCTGTAAAGTGACATCAATGGGGATAAGACCTAATTGATATTAAAGACCACTTAATTATACAACGACACACTGAGTTTAATCAAAATCGTTTGAGCCGTTTTTGAGAAAATTGTGAAAATGTGTTTCAGCGTTGATATAAAGTGGCACTTCCGGTTAGCCGATTTTAAGGAAAAAGTTGCTGTCACATCTAAGGTATACACCTATCTTAAATACGTGATATTAGTTTCATAGGACTTTTTGTTTTTGAGCTAGACTGCTAACATACAGACACACAGACCATTTTTCGGGACTTGGTCATTTCGACTCAGGGTACCTCAAAATGTGTATTTCTGTTAAAAACTCAGATTCAAAAATTTTCTCGATCGCAATACTTACCCTTACTATATATTACATATATACATAAGTGAAAGTAACGTAGTATTTCCAAATAATTGTTATTCAGAAACATTTTGTAAATTTATTCCTTTCATTTATAAATGATTTTATATTTAGTTCAATTGTAAATACAAATAATTTATTGGCAGGACTTTTTAAAGGTGAAATCTCTTGAAGAAATCTTAATCTGCCTCCTTGTATTGATCATTGATGAAGTGATTAATTGAAATTTAAAGTTTACTAAATTTAAATCCTGCTTATTAATATTTCAGATCCTGATAGAAGTGGAAGATTCACTTGATGGTGTTGAGTGGCGTTGTTCAAGATGTTCCGCACAAAAAGCTGTGAGGCATGGTACTTGGTTTGAAGACATACGCCAGGTTCGCTTAAAGGATATCATTGTCATTCTGTATTGTTGGGCCCGAAACTATCCTGAACTTCTGTGCCAACACGAAATGGATCTTATCGAGCCAACTCCAGTTGTACCATTGCTGTACAAGAAATGTCATAAACTGTCATCTGAGTATTTCAGTAATGAGATATCCAGTATCGGTGGAGCTGGAGAAGTTGTCGAAATAGAAGAGTTTTCTACTCCTACAGGTTTGCACATCATTGGAGGTGTCGAACGTCACAACATGAAAAATGTTTTCTTCAGAGTGTTACCAGAGAATTGGACCCGAGATGACCTGATAACAGCGATTGCTGACAATATAGATACAGGAACCGTGCTTCATTTTCAAAATTCAACCCTTGTTGAGATTCTGGGGGATGTCGGTCTCAAATATCTAGAGGTTGTTTGGGGCCTCGGGGTCGAAACGTCCCCAGATCCCGACAATCCAATGGTAACATCGCTGTGGGCTCTTTTCGAGAGGCTTTTTCAGGAGAAAGATTATACCCAGATTAGTATAGTTGAGTTCCTCTTCAGACGGAGAATGGAAGCTTCCAAAGACCCTTTCTTATTTCTTTTATCAATTATCTCAAGACTATATCCAGCTTCGTGATCTTGATCTAATAGTTATATTTATTGTAACAATTTCTTCTTTTTTTTTGTAAATATTAATGGAAAGTCAGTTATTTACTGTTTTTAGTTGGACACTGGAAGGTTTCTTGTTTTGATTTTATGTGAGTAACTTTCTTTTCTGTATGAATTTTCTTATTTTTTATTATTAATAAATACTTTTCTGTTTTGATCTCATTATATTAATTGATAGTGTATTTTACATACTAGAGTTGTATTATAAACATATTTATACATATGTTATATAATGTTAAAAATTGAATTTTTTAATAAATGTTAGAAGATATTTTAAGATAATTATTAATTCTTATAATTTTCATAAATTATATTAATAGTGTTGACATAAATCTTTATGGTCATAATTTTCCTATCAATAATAATTTTTTCCGATTCCTTGAAGCTGATAACCTTTGAAGAGGGTGGGGTTGCACTTTATATACATTTCAGAACATCTAGAACACAATTTTAGAGGTTCGAGGATGTCTGGTGTATTTTTTTTTCTTCAAAATTTCAGTACTTCTAGCACCCTCTTCTAATGGAATGAACTAAAATTTAATTTTAACTAAATTAAGTTTAGTTTTAACTAAATTAAAATTTAATTTGTTGGGCTAGGCTAAGAGTAAATCCTGAGCAGTAAGAATATCAAACCTCAACAAAATATATATTTATTTTACATTGGGATCATTTTATTATTTTTTATTTTATTGTCGGCATTTACGCTTGAGCCATTTTTAACAATATGTAGAAATATTATTATTAGTTATCTATCCTTAAACTATTTCAATTTTTAACTTTTGGTCTATACAGTTTCCTAATCCTATATCATTATTATGTTGTAATTTAGTACATAATATAATAAATTGAGATTATTTTAGTTTACATCAATGCAATTACCTATTATGCACAGTTATTTAAAAAAAAAAAAAGTTTTATCATTTTTATACAATTCGTCCAAGTTATTAAATTTTTTAAATAAGAAAAAAATCTGGTGCAGTGCGCGCATCTCACAACTTTCACTTACCACCCTCTTCTTAGCAGAAATAAGTATTTTCAGACAAAGAGGACATGAAAATAAAAATTATAAACGCTATATTGATTTATGTTTCATTGTGGGTATTTTTATTTTTATAAGTACCCTCATATATACAATTTTTAATATTTATATCGCTATAATCTATACAATTCAATATTAAATAATACCAATGATAGCATCTATGATAACCGCATATGTATATTTACATAATATTGTCGGATTCCTTATTATATTAAGGTCATGTTACGTATGGCAGCGTGTTCTAATCTTTCCGACAAACTCGGTTGTGCTCGGGTATATTCCTTTGGTTCCTTAATTACAACTATTCTCTGTTACAATCTCTTATTTCTCTTTTAGTTAATTACCAAATTCTTTCATATTTTATATTTAACTATCTTTTATGTTAAAAATTAATGTGAAATGATCAATTATTTCAAATAAACAAAATTAAAGGTACTACAGGGGAAGCTTTTACACTGATATGATGAATTTAATCAAAATCATTTGAGCCGTTTTCGATAAAATCATAAAAATGTGTTTAGTCCATGATATAAAATGCCACTTCTGGTCAGCCTATTTTGACGAAAAAGGTGTTGTAACATCCGTAGCATGTAAAAACCTTAAATATGCAATTTCACTTTCGTGCGACTTCGTTTTTGAGCTAGACTGTTAACACACGCACAGACCATTTTGTGGGACTTGTTGGTTATTTGGACTCAGGGGATCTCAAAACGTGTATTTCCGTTGAAAACTCAGATTCAAAAAATTTCACGTTCGCAATACTTTCTCTTACTGTATATTTCATGTATAGGTAAGCGAAATTAAAAATAATATAAAATAAAACTATGTATGCACCAATAGATTAGATAAAACAAAAAAAAATTGATTTCTAAACCCTCCAACCCACTCCTATATAAAAATATTAATCTATTCTTGAGGGATGGAATGACAAACCAGATTGGACTTGATGTCTTTCACTTAACCCGGCACATAGTCGCGAAGTTTTATGTATAATTTAGAAATTATAAGGAAATAAGGAATGGATCATTTGAATGAATGAATGAATGAACAAACAAAAACTAAATAATGGTGCATGGTAGGTTATTGCATTAATGTAAAATATACTAAATTACAATAATATAATGATGAATAGCATTAAGACAATGTATATTCATAGTTTTTTTTTTTTATTATTAACAAAATTTACAACTGTAATTAATAATAAATACAACAAGTAAATATGACATGTACAACATGAGAAGAAACTACCCATTGGTAGCACTCCAATTATATTTCTATATTAGAAGGTCCCGAGGCCATCTTCTTTTTAGACGCCTTGGAGGGTTATCAGGAATAGAAGAGGAAGCAAGGTTGGAAACGAGAGGGTTTGGATGGTTCAGAAGTTTATTATGAAAGGACAGGTATCTGGATTGAGCTAAATCGGAAACATATGGTACATTAAGGTCATTATGGATGATTTTATTTGTGACAAAGTAGGGAGCATTAAGGATTTTGGATTGTAGGATATCCATAGTTAAAATTTAAAGATAGATGACCGATTATAATATTTTTAGAGATATTTAAAAATATTATATGACGATAAATTAAATAAATTTATTGCTTATCACTTAACCTCCTCTCCCTGTAAACAGAACACCATAGAATCGTGATTAAATTTTGGCATATCAAAAATATTTTTAAAGTTTTCCACACGTTTACAGTTTCTCCAAATAAAGTTAGAGGATTGAAACTTAGTTCAAAAAATTCAATTGTATTGGAAAAAAATTAGTTTTTCTTGTGATGCCAGTTCATCCCAATTCGTTTTTAAGGCCCTGAGAACTGGAGGGAAAAAAATTTCTAATAAGCGAAGAGGAGTTGGTTGGGTTGGGGTGCGGACTCAAAAGTAACAAAGTAAAAATAAATAAATTATATTTATTTTTATTTTTGCTCACGTTTCAGTCCAAATTTCAGAGCTAATCTCACGAAAGGTTTTCTCAAGCTTCAATGCATTACTTGTAAAAACGTTCAATAAATTTACTTTTGGTATTATTAAAATAACTCTAAAATAGTATAAACCTGCTCTACTTTGACAGAAAATAACTTTTACTCAAAGTAGGTTGTAATTGATATTTTTATGATATGCCATATTTGTAACCATTGATATGAAACATTATCAAATAGATAATAGATTATGGTTTTTTTAATTTAACCACCAAGTGAGGTTTTAATATTTTTTATTTAATTATTTATAATTTATTGAGAGATATCTTGGATTATCGGTTTGAATTTCAGCTTGGAACTTGATCCTGGAGTGACAAAGGCGGTGTTATCTATGACAATACCCTCTTTTCCTTCCTGGTTGGAAGGGAGAATCGTGAAGTTTAGAAGCAGGAATATAACTGCCAACTTTATCTGCAGTAAAGCAAATTTGAAACCTGTAAAGAAAAGTATTTTTGATTTAACTGATTGTTATTAAATTACATATAGTTCAGTTTCTGCAGTTATTATTCAACATCCTTAAACTTCTCCTCTTTAACATTTCAATGTCCAATATGTTGGTTATATATATTTGGTTATTGTGAGGGATGGTACCGGTACAAAATAAATTCGACAATGAAATGAAATTACCCAATATAGATTTAATCAAATTCTTTTGCACATAACCGCAATTTTTCTGGAAAAGGCTATGTGGCTCAAAAAAATGGCTTGTATTGCAAATTTTATTTCTAATCGACAAATCATAGACCTTTAAATAGTAACTAATTATGGAACCAATATAAATAGGTAAGAAGCTAAAATGACCCTATTTGTTAGAGGTTACTGTTTTATTTCAAAAATATGAAGTAAGAGTATAAACTCATAGAGGAAAACGGCCAGCTTACAAAAACTAGTTAATCAATATCTCCTGATATAAAGGAATCAATGATATCAAGAAAAAATCTGGTGTGGTGCGCGCATCACACAACTTTCACTTACCACTCTCTTATTAGCAGAAAAAGGTATTTTCAGACTAAGGAAAAGTGAAAGTATAAATTATAGAGGCTATATTTATTTATATTTCATTGTGGGTATTTTTATTTGTATAAGTACCCTTACATATACAAATTTTAATATTTATATTGCAGTAATCTATACAATTAAATATTAAATAATACCAACAATAGCATTTATGAAAACCACATATGTATATATACCTAATATTGTTAGAGTCCTTATTATATTAAACTCATGTTACTTAATGAAAGTGTGTTCTAATCTTTCAGGCGAGTTCCGGTGGCCTCTTATTTCTCCTTTAGTTAATTATCAAATTCTTTCATATTTTATATGTGACTATCTTTTATATTAGAGATTAATGTGAAATGGTCAATTTTGTCAAATAAAAAAATTAAAGGTATTTTAGAAGAAGATAATACTGAACAATAGCCATTTAAGTCTTGTTATGGAACATCAACCAGAATAAAAACTACATTTTATTTAAAATTGCTTAATTTTACCCTAATATGATGAATTTAATCAAAATCGTTAGAGCCGTTTTCGAGAAAATCGTTAAGATGTGTTTAGTCCATTATATAAAGTGCCACTTCCGGTGAGCCGATTTTATAAAAAGTTGCTGTAACATCCCTAGCATATAAAAACTTTAAATATGCAATTTCACTTTCGTACGACTTTTAAGTTTTTGAACTAGGCTGTTAACAGACACACACACACAGACTATTTTGCGGGACATGGTTATTTGGACTCAGGGCATCTCAAAACGTGTATTTCCGTTGAAAACTCAGATTCAAAAATTTTCACGATCGCAACACTTGCCCTTAATATATATTACATATATAGATTACTGAAAGTAAACTAGTTCATATCATCGGTTTATTGCTTAAGTCACTAAATACATTTTTGGTGGAGCTGAACTTTTAAGAACGTTTTTATGAATTTCGACCTTATTTATTGATGAAAAACAACGTTACAGTACTGTGATAATTCAAACCTTTGTATATAAATTATTTATGAGACTGAATATAATTTAATATTATTACTAGCGCACAATTTTTATTTTCAGTAATAGAAACTTCATTAGTGTGATTTAAGGTTATGAAACCCTCAGAGGCGTCTGAAAAGAAGATGGCCTCGAAATCTCCTTTTGTAAATACATTTTTAGAATGCTACCAGTGGGTAGTTTCTCAACAAGTGATTTCATGCTATTATATTCTTTTGTTCACATTTACTGAATGTGTACTTGTAATACAGTTGTAAATATCATCAATAAAAAAAAAAAAAGGTTATGAAAAGTCACTTAATGATGTTTTTTATTTAACCGACCATATATTTGTTAAGTATTCTAACAATGACATTTTGATATCCATATTTTTACTTCTGTATAACACAGCCGGATTAACGGGGGGAGGGGGGCTTTCGGGCTGAAGCCCTACCTAAAATGGTATAATACAACCATGTTTTATGGTAAAAAATATTTTTAAAATATGTCTTTAAGTATTATTGCTCGTTTATTTACATTTAATAGGACTTCAAGAATCACTCAAACACCATTTCATATAGGTAGTTAGTTTCTTTCTGTTTTTTTAAAGTAATCATCGTTATATATTTTTTTAAAAAAAGCTTTCGGGGTGAAGCTCCCTCCCCCAAAATTAAAGAGATAGTATAAACAGAGGTAGCAATGTTTTGCAAGAACCTATAGTTTGATAGTTCTATCAAAATCATTTTCGTTGAGGAACTGCTTTTTATAGAAAAATAAATCTTAAGAGGAATACATTTCAAATTTATCAAACCATTGAACTATTAAATCGGACTGCATGTTGGAGAGACTTTATGAATAAATATATAAAACTAGTTTCATAGCAAATTATTAAATTGGACAACATACCAACACATATTCTTGGTCCCTCTCCAAAAGGAAGAAAGGTGTATTTGGGAATTGAGTCCTTGTTCTCTTCGGAAAATCTTTCTGGATCGAATTTATTAGGATCGGGAAAGTACTCCGGGTCTTTGTGGAATTGCCCGATCGGAATAAATACTTTGGTGCCTTTAGGTATTGGTGTATTTGCGATTACGGAGTCCTGTGTACAAGTCCGGGATATCCAGGTAGCTTGAGTGTGTATCCTTATGCTTTCTGCATATATAAAATATAATATTAACAAGTTTATATATATAAAGACACTGCATATTATTAACCAATGATTTATTATTTTCAAATAGTTTTTTATAAAATATGTTTGACGTGTTACACTACATTTCTGAAAAATTGCCTCCTTAAGATTTTTTTTGTTTAATCTCGATAGCTTACTAAAAGGCGTTTCAGCAATACAGTCTACGGCAACACAGGTTTTTCAGCAACCATTTTGAAATGAGAGGGCGGATGGTGATGCCGAGTTGAGATGATCATCTTTGAGTGACCTTTGAGTTTAATACCAATTTAGAAAAAAAAAATCTGCTCAGTGGTTTTGGAGAAAACACGCGTACGGCGAACGAACATAATTTCTACTTATTGGATCTTCAGATTTTACGTATTCTGAAACGCGAAATCTCAAATTTTGGGAGGTGATTAAATTTCTTTTTTCCTTGGTCTGTTGCAATGATTCATTCGATAAAATAATTAATTTTGATATCTAAAACTTGAACAAAAATAAAATAAATTAAAGGAATTCTCTAGTATAGACCATCTAAGATAAGTTTGAGGGTGGGTAGAGATGCGCAATGGCAAAACATTTTCGCGCATATTTTCCACTCTTTTGTCTTCTCTCTTCATCCATACATATTTCTAAATTTTTGTTTACAAGTACAAATTTCTTTTATAATTTATTTTCCATTTCTTTTACTATTTCTTATATTGATTCACAGAAATACTCGCCGTTTACACACTGATTTGAGCTAATACAGTGCAGTCTAAAATAATACATAATGTGGACAATTCTCTTTGTTTATATTTATAAGTAAAGGAAAAAGGCTTCTTCCCATTATTGAATATCCGATAACGTAATATCGGATTCTTTTCTGTTCTATATTTTACATCTATTTCTTGATTTTTTTACGATCTATTTCTTGATAAATTTAGATCTACATATCCTAGTTCTATGAACAGTAGACTTCGTGAATTCATATGTTTTAACTTAGATGCACTATACCTATTCTAACTTATTTCTAGAAATTTTAAATTTAGAATTCTACATTAGATATCGGTCCATTTATATGTGATACGTGATCGTTAAAAAAAAAAGGATTTCATGAAGTTTTGGTCTAAACAATATATCACGGAAAGATTTACAAAGACTTTCTAACTCAGAAGCAAGTAACCTACAATTTTCCGATCTTCTAAATATTGATATCGAGAACTTAAAAAATTTAAATATGTCCCTTTCGATACTATTCAAGATAACCAAAGAATCTCAGAACTAACATATTTTATTTACTGTTTGAATAGATTTTTAGTTTACCATAGACCTTAAGTGGGAAACTTGCGGCCTCCGATAGTAATTCAGTGACTTCTTAAATTATTGTGCCTTTCAATTTGAAGAAAATCAAAATTTATATCTATGTTTATGCAAATAAAAATATAAATAAATAATTTATTTTTTTTTTTCACAAACCGGCCAGCTAGGACCACACGAATATCATTTCCGTTTCCTCTTCACACCCTCAGCCTTCCTCTTACTCCAATACTCTCTCATTCTCCTGGACTGTTCCTCTCGCTCTTCCTTAGTCCATTTTCTCCCTTGTGTCTCCCTCCCACCTACAAGAACCCTAACCCCTTTCAGTTTTTCCCCAAAAAGCTCTTTATCCAAGCAATCTTTATCCTGATTTCTAAATGATTTTTAGCCTGTCTAGTTCCTCTTTTATTTGTTTTACATATCCCCCATACTTTTACATCAGCAAACTTTGTCAAAAATTTTCTTGTTCAGTCTTTCACTATTCATCCTGACCATGATCCAGTAGAACCTCAGTATTCTGGTCCTGACGACTGTTTCCAGATCTTCCAAATTTATGTATATTTCTCTATTGTAGTTTAGTCTGTATCCCTCTTGCGTTACCTTGGGTCCGTGAATCCTCCTCAGAATCTTCCAATCAATCTTCAGGATTTTCTCTAGGCTCTGAAGGCTGACTGTTTCCATACAATATAATATTACATGTTTTGCTACGGTACAGTAATGCCTTATTTTTGTATTCGATGTAGTTATAAAAAATAAATAAATAAAATAACGGCCACCATTATTAACTAATCTAAATGCAGCGTAGTTTATCATTGCCTAACCGAGAGTGTATGTATGACCTTCATGATTTTTGTGCAGTATTAATATATATATATATATATATATATATTATGTAGATTTTTTCGTACTTACCGTTAATCGCCATATTTAAATAATTGATGGAATTAATTTTTTCTATATCAAAATCTGATGGACATTTTGAAATTGAAGAAATTTCTTTTCGCAATTTTTCTTGGACTTCCGGATTGTCAGCCAAGTCGAAGAGAAAAAATGTCAGTTGGCTCGCCGAAGTTGCGGTACTATCCACGTAAAATGTCATACAGTGCCCTGCCAACTCTAGATTCGTATAAGCTAAAAAATAAAATAAATATATAAAATTATTAATGTATAGAAATATGTACGTATTAAAATATGAGGTAATTATCAACCTGGTTTATTTTCTTCTTTCAATTTTTGGTTAATTTTCATAATATGGTTGATCAAGTCGTTCTTTGTTATGTTCGAGCTGGTTCTGTACTCGATCATTTTTTTAACAAATGAATCAAAGAAATCTCCAGCTTCTTCTGACAAAATTCTAACAAATAATATACAACATTGAGTACATTTTACTCTGTGTGGGTTATTACATATGTTATTATCAAGACAATGTAGTTAAATAATCTGATTTTTAGCCACCTCATAGCCTCGTTTACACAAATAAATACTTTTTACTCATAACAAAAATGAGTGATAAATTAAATGATTTTTTAAAAATTATTATGCAGCCAATATATAAACAAAAATCTGCAGATATAATTTTAGCAGAAAAAAATAAACCAATAAAGCATAAGATACAATTGACTGGCAAAACACTTGTTGAAGGATAAACACTAGTTGACGACTGAACGCATAGTGATCGACATTTCAATATATCGACCAGTATCAATGCAAAATTTACCTGAAACCTTTCGTCGTCTTGAGAGACATATACCTTCAGTTAGGAGTAGTGTTGCCCAAATGCGAGACCGAGACGAGTCTTGCAAACTCATTCTTGGTCTTGGTCTTGCGCAAGACTCTCATAACAGTCTTTCAGTTACCTATTAGCTTATTACTAGTGAGATGTTACTGTAATTTTTTATATGTGAGAAATCTAACTATGTCTGAATGAAATATTAGAAAAGTTAAATGCAAAAGTATATTGGTTACACTAATTATTTACATGTAGTAACTAAAATCCTCAAGTATTAGTAACTATTCTGTCTCAATTTTTATTCAAAAAATCGATTTTTTTTTTACCAGTCTTGGTCTTGGTCTTGCAACAGATAGGCGGTGTTGGTCTTGGTCTTGCAAAGTGCAATTAGGTAAACACAATCTATATTCATTTTAAAAAGTAAAATAGGGCGGAAATATCGGTTTGGTCGGTGGAGGGACCAGTGTCCTTTGAAGAGTTTATTCTACGGTTTATATTACGGCCAGTTATTGAAGGGCGTCGTGTGAAAGAGTCAGGAAACGGGAACGTAAAGGAAGATTGCATTAGAGAGAGAACATGAATGTAAAGGAAAATTGGAGGAGTGAGGAATCAGGAAGGTAGAGGAAGATTGGAGGAGTGGGAAAACAGGAATGTGCAGGAGAGAGAACCAACAGGAATGTAGAGGATGATGGGAGAAGTAGGTAAACAGGAGTGTAGCTGAAGATTGGAGGAGTCGGGGAACAGGAATGTAAAGGGCGATTGATGGATTGGAAAACAGGAATTTAAAGGAATATTGGAGGAGTGAGGGAACAGGAATATAAGAAAGATCAAAGGAGTGGGGATAGCTTTTTCTTCCTGGCAAAGTTATTCATGATTCTCATTATAATGGCTTATATGAATAAATTTAAAATCACCTTAGCTTGAGAACGCTGGTCATCGCAGGTATAAATAAGTGACAGTACATCGTCAACGGTGAAGGATTGAACAATTTATCCGAATTGGCATACTTGATAAAATTGTTTTCCGTGTCGGTAAATGCACTAGGTTCAATGCCGAATCCGCATGAACATGCATTGTCCACTGTATACATAAACGAAAGTTTCTGTGCCTACATAAAAATAATAGTCAATAGATTACCAAAACTTGTTTGTTATAAATTAAAGAAATATTGTGTGGATCTAGAAGTTCGTTCGGTTTCTGAAGGGTGGATTAAAATAAGTTTTTTTCATTCAGCGAATCTCTTGCCATCTTTCTAACGATTTCATCATTCTGCTCTCGTAAAACATCTGGGATTTAGAAGTTAAAAACTGATCGAGATACGTTTTCACATATCTTTCATCAGCGAGCGATTTCCCATTGATGGAGTCTGGAAAGGACCGGAATAAATGGTTGTTTGATTGTGCAAAGTTCGGAGAATATGGTGAGTGTGATATAACATCCAAGTCAAGTTGCACTAACTTTTGCCATGTGATTATTGCGGAGTGTGATCTGGCGTTGTCATGATGGAATAGAACACCTTTGAGATTGGCTAGTTCTGGACGTTTTTCTTGCAATGCTTGGTCCGATTTCGTCAGCTGTGTGCAGTAGATCTTCGAATCAATCCTTTTTCTTGTTACCCATAAAACAACACGCCGCGATTATACCACTATAGGAAGAGCAAAATCTTTTTCGGGTGTAGACCAGTCTTCGGGATGGCATTACATTGTCATATATGATCCACTTTTTATCACCAGTCACTATTCGTTTGAGAAATTAAAGCCTTTAATGGTTCCAATGTTGCTGTTTTAATATTTCCAAAACCTTATTTTCATTATCTCTGCAATTTATAGTACCTATAGCGACCGATATAGTTCGATTAGAACCTTGATATCACTCAAAGCGGTGGGCCAATCGCTGTGGGGTGCATCTTGGATACTCGTATCTCCGGAATGAAACTTGGCAAACCGTTTTTGAGTAGTGAAATATGTTACGTCATCGTCTCCGTATACTTTACATATCTTTCGATGGGCCTCCGAAGCTCGGATGAATAATAGCTGGAGATATTTGAAAACAATTCGCACTAATAACAAAAACCGTACGAACTTATGGATCCACCCAATGAAATACCGTGATTGGTTCCATCTTCTTTTCTCTGACGTAATCGACCATACTTTCAGCTACCCTATGTATGGTAGGAATGATCTCTTTAAACCTGACTGCGGTCAAATTTGCAGCTTGGATACTTCGAAGCTCCTTCCACCTGAAATTTATATTAATTAATATATTTATAAACGCATGTGTTACTTAAATAATGTATTGAAACATTGGCATTTCTCTGTATCAATTATTGTAGGTAACATAAACCATAATGTATAGAGAGACTTCTCTTAGCGGACAATTTTCTAGGCTCCCTAAAAAGTTGCAGCTATTTTATATAAAATACTACATAATATTATAAATGGAAAAACCCAAACTAGAAGCTACGAGTCCCCATCATACCGGTGAACACTTGCCAATGTTTTGCCAACTCAGACATCATCAGGGCAGAAAAACAAGATCACATGGATGTAATAAGAAAAACACAAATGAGTAGGTACTTGGATGACTTTGTGAGATGCCAACAGCAATACCCCCGACGGCCTCCTGAAATCCATTCGTAAATTCCAAAGCAATGATTTTTGACCAGATAATATCCCAGTTAAATTAATTAAATCCTTTCTTACATCCATTTTCCCAATCCTTTATCTTATCTATAACTTTTCACTACAAAGTTTCACTTTTCCCAGCACCTGGAAGACTGTCCTTGTTCGTTCACTGAACAAAACCTCTAATCCCGCAACCCCTAATGATTTCCGTCCAATTTCCCTGTTACCTAACCTTTCCAAACCTTAAGAACGAATATTAAAATCCCAACTATCCCACTATCTCGAACAAAATAGCCTTTTGAACTGCTTTCAGTCCGGTTTTAGACCTCACTACTCTACTCATTCCGCCCTCATTAAAATCTCCCAAGATCGTCACACAGCCATAAACCAATAGAAACTCACCATCCTGATCCTTCATGATTTCCCTAAAGCATTTGATGACTCAGTTGACCATGATATCCTTTTAACCAAACTTTTTTTTTTTTTTTTTTAAACTTTTATTATGATATTTACAACTGTATTAGTATCAATACATCAAGTAAATTTGTACAGAGAAATATTATTACATGAAACACGCTTGTTGAGAAACTACCCACTGGTAGTACTCTAATAATTTGTCTACATGAGAAGATCACGAGGCCATTTTCTTTTCAGACGCCTCGGAGGGTTATCAGGAATCGAAGAGGAAGCAAGGTTAGAAACAAGAGGATTTGGATGGTTATGAAGTTTATTATGGAAGGATAGGTATCTGGATTTGGCCAAATCGGAAACATATGGAACATTGAGGTCTTTATGGATTATTTTATTAGTGACAAAGTAAGGAGCATTGAGGATTTTACGAAGGATTTTGGATTGTAAGGATTGGATGCGAGAGGAATTCGATGGTTTAGTGGAGCCCCATAGCTCAACTCCGTAAGTCCAAATAGGTCTTATTATAGTCAAGTATATGAGTCTTTTGTAATTAAGGGGAAGTTTAGAGCGTTTGTCTAGTAAGTGTTGGAGTAGTCGGAAACGTCGAGCGGTTTCTTGTCGTTTCAGTCTGGTATGAGGATTCCAAGTTGGACGTTTGTCCAAATGAAGTCCAAGGTATCGGATTTGTTCAACAGGGATAAGTTGGGTATTATTGAAGGATACTGTAGGACAAGAGGTCATAGGTTTACGACGGAGGGTAAAAATGATTTGATGGGATTTGTTGGAGTTTATTTTTATTCTCCAATTTTTACACCATTCTTCAAGGCTTGTGATATGTGATTGAGGAGTTTGGGATGCAATTAAAGGATCGTTATTAACTGATAGGATACACGTGTCATCGGCATAGGTGGTGATGACAGTGTTGGATTGGGTTGGGATGTCAGCTGTATAAACTGTGTAAAGGATAGGACCTAGGATACTACCTTGAGGAACACCGGCAGACTGAGTAAAAAGAGATGAATAAGCATTGTTATGATTGACTTTGAAGTATCTGTCAGTAAGGTAGGAACGTATAATGAGGAAGTATGTAGGTGGTAGGAATTCACGGAGTTTGTACATCAGTCCCGGATGCCAGACTCTATCAAACGCCTGTTCAACGTCGAGAAAGACTCCCGTGCAGTACATTCCGCGCTCCAATGCAGAGGAGACTACATCTACCACACGATAAACTTAAAAATATTTCCTTATCATCTAGTGCCCTTAAGTGGTTCCAATCCTTTCTCACCGGTCGCTCCCAGAGCGTTGTAGTCCTTAATAGTCCTCCATCAGTGTCTCTATCCTTGTCCAGAGGCGTCCCACAAGGTTCCTCTTTATCACACACCTTCTTTTCCATCTATATCAATGACCTTCCTTCCTCTATCATACATTATCAATATCATCTATATGCCGACGACGTATAAATTTACCTTTCCTTCAACCCGGCGGATTCCTCCAATGCCAATCTAAATCTGCAACAAGATATCAATAGAATATGCGCATGGGCAAATCTTAATAAGCTGACATTAAATACGGAGAAGACAAAAGCCATTCTAATCCGATCCCACTCCCTCAAATCCATTTCAGTACCCCAATCTACTCCTGAACAACTCGCCTATCTCCTTCCATACTACAGTTAAAAACCTTGGCGTTACTCTCGATCAAACCCCTTCTGGAAACCACACACCTCCCGAATTTCCCGTCGTACTCTTTCCACCCTGAAACAGTTCAACCATCTATTCTATCTCCTTCCATTCAGAACCCGTCGACTCTTTGTTTTCTCTCTTGTTTCCCCCGACTTCGACTATAGCTGTATGATGTATGGCGGACTCTCGAAGCCAACCTTAAAAGTCTTATGACTTGCTCAATACGCTTTTTATTCGGAACCACAAGAGATACGTATATTACCCAGTATTACACCGAATTGAAGTGGCTAAATTTATCCCACCGCCGTCAGTATTTCCTTGCTGCCTTCCTATATTATACAGAGTCTACAAATTAAATCCTTCATTTAATCTCGTCCCACCAGATCCCGTACGTCACATCTCTATCCTCCTCTCTGAACTGCTGCATTTGATAAATCCGTAATTCAAGCCGTCTCCCATTGGAATTCAACACGCAAAGTCAGTCTTCTCTTTCAAATAGGTCCTCTCTAAGCCCCTATTTCATTCCCAATCCACTTGATGCGATATAAGAGCCTATGGCTTAAGATTCTAAGTACCTTCAGATACTATTTTCTTTCTTTATTTTATTTTATCTTCCTTTGGTTATTTTATATTAATTTATGTATAGTTATTTTTACTTTATATTATCAACTTTTTTGTAAATATTTAATTTAATTTATGGACACACTAATATGTTTACTTATATTCTGTATTTATAATTTTTTCTAAAGGGAAACTTGTTCAAAAATAATAAAGGTATTTTCATTTCATTTTCAAAGTATCACTTATCGTTACAGAACAGTTTCCAAGTAATAAAAGGACAGTAAGATACTCACTTTTCTATTCCTTTAGCAACAAATGGATTAATTGCGAATAGTGGATCGACATCCTTCCTTATCTCTATTCCTGTGTCAGTGAACTTATTGAAGTCTTTCACCATCACAGTTTTCACTATTTCTGGGTCCGTCACCAATAGCATTGGAGTGAACATTGCATAAAATCCAACAATACCGTGGCTTTTGTACTTCCTAAAAATTAAAGAATTGACTAATCTATTCTTCAACACTTAAGAATAGTTTTATTGTAAAATATTTACGTGTAAAGATCGACGAAGAAGTCTTGAATGTGTTCGTTCCTGATGAGTATTTTGGGGAATGTTTGGAGAGTAAATCCGAATTTAATATTAAAAACATTCCTCCTGTCCCAGAATCCGAATAACCAGATATATGATAAGTATGATGTAATAATTAATACCACAATAGCTTCCGCTATCATTTTGTCAGCTTGTCAGTTCTAAAAAAGTAAAATTTGAATGAGCTGTATTCGTGTTAAGGACATATGATTCCAATTATTTTTAAATTTAGGAGAAGAAAATCTGGAGAGGTCATAGGGTTTTTTTTTTACTTTCGGCCTGCCTGAAATTACTTCGTCATGAATAATAATTTACAATAAAAGAAGCACTATAAAATTGTACGGCTGGTCAACTCCGTTGAGTTGCTAAATTACTCAGGATACTGATCAGTCATAATCGATACCATTTAATAAGAGAAAACAGATAGGATAATGTCGAATATTGTAATTTTTAAAAACAAACCGATTTCAGACATTGGGAAATCCTTTCCACCCTGATAGAATTTACATTCATATCTACTTAAACACTTTCGCAAGTTGTTAGGGAATTTAAAAACTACAAATATTTAAACTTGATTTGGTTAAATATTTCGGTGCCTTGCACAATACAACACGATTCCTGATAAGTATTGGGTTGGCAAATAAGTCCTTACGGTGTTTCAGAATGAAATAAAACTCAATGTATTATAGACATGAAATTTATTTTAATCTGCAATATATTGACCATTATTTAATATGATTTTTTCTCATCTTTCCACTAACTGCATAATTCCATGTTCATAGAATGTCTGAAGTTTATTGTTAAAAAACTGATACAAGCGGTTTTTGATTTCCTCTTCCTTTTGGAATTTCTTTCCATTCATAGAGTTCTGCAGAGACCAGAATAAGTAGTAGGCACTTGGAGCTAGGTCTAGTGAATAGGAAAGATGGAGCAAAAGATCCCATCCAAGGCTCAATAATTCATTGCGAGTGACCAATGAGGTGTGGAACATAACGTTGTCTTGGTGGAACACAACACCGTTCTGATCATTCATAACTCTTCAGGATGTTCTTCGTATTCGAATTTATTGTTTGTTTACGAAGGTCCTGTTGATATCATTTTGTGTAGTTTATGTGGCACTAAATTCCTGCTAATTTTTCTATATAGCTAAAGTCCTACTGAAGTTATAACGTTTTTTAGTGATTTTCGAAATAAAATCATGTGTGGTACTCGAATATTAAGCCTGGAAACATAGTCGAGCTTGTGCAAATGATTTTCTACGCTTGTGTGCGACACATTTAGGGCTGTAGCAACCTCTCGCACTAATTGGGTGGGAATTTCATCAACAATGGCATTAACATTGTTAACCTAATGTGTTACATAGGAAATGCTAATTTTTATTAACATTCTACTAATGATTAAAAAAAAAAGTTTTGTCCATTAATTGGAATCACCTTTTATTTATTTTTCTTTGTAACTAAGAAGGTAATGTTACTTTAGATGAATAATTGTTTGGAAATAATAAACCATTGTGAAATAATTTACAGCATTTTTTACTTTCACTTCTCTATTTATAAAAAAAAAATACTCTACATTTCTAGTAAAAGTAGAGTGATGGATGATGGCAATGTGATACGTTAACCGCGCCAGATGTATTTTACATGTGTTAAATTATAATATTTACCGAATATACCTGTTTAAGAGTTTCTCGTTTACACACTTCACCTCAACTGCGTCTCTTCTGCTTCACTACTGCTGTCTTGTTCCCGACAATGGTGAATAAATGGATGCTCTATCATGCACTTCAGTGATTCAAGTAACGATACGACATACTTTAATAAATAAAATGTACCGTGTTAAACTTATATTATTTATTAAAATAATCTTAATAACAAATTGTTATTGTGATGTCTTTATCCTAAGGACACTAGATAAAACTATGTCGGAAAAAATAGTCTTCCATTAGCCTTGATCTCAGAGCAACGTATCATATATATAATGATATTTAGGTGGGGAGAAAGAGATAACAATTTTTGTTTTATTTTTTTAAAACAAACTAAATATAGAAAGAATGTTTGGAGGCTCATTTAGATTATAGATATGATAGCGAAGGAAATGTTTTTGTTTTCGTTTATATAATAGAATTTTTTTTCCTCTTATAAATATAAATCCTAAGTGTATTTAAGATAAAAAAATTATAAAAATAACAACACTCAATGGTATCTGATATATTTTATCTTTAGTTGAATCTTTGGGTTAAAAAAAAAAATTACGCTTGTTATTTACACTTTTTTTTTTTTAATATTACAACAATCTGTCTCTTGGACATTGGTTATAGTGAGCTAGGATGACATTCACACTATATGTACAAAAAAATAAAAGAAATAGAAACAAAATAATAATAAAAAGTATATACAATAGATAATCAAATAAAATAACCTAAAAAAATAAGAAAATTAAAACTAAGCAACAAAAAAAAAACACATGCATACCTATATACAATCAGGCGAAGGAATTCCAGGAGAACCGTGCGCTACTCTCTCAACCGCGTCACTGGTACTAAAGCCAGCGGAGATTGATCGAGAGCACTTTAGCCACATACACTCATGTCTTGAGTGAAGAATCTGGCCATCGCCAGAACTTCAATATATACAATCTACAAAAGATCGCGAGGCCACTGCCGTTTCAACCTTCTTGGAGGATTATAGGGATGGGAAGTGCTTGATAGGGATTCTGCAAGAGGATTTGGGTTGTACATAAGGTTCTGGTGAAATTTGGAGAATTTTTCTGGGATAAAGTCTAGGACGAATGGGATGTTGAGGACATGATGTAGGGTTTTTTTGGTTACATAGAAAGGAGCATCGACTATTGTTCGAAGGACTTTTGACCGGAAGGATTGGATGCGCTTGATGCTAGAAAATTTTGCTGATCCCCACAGTTCTAGTCCGTAAGTCCAAATAGGTTTCAGTATTGTCTTGTAGATCAGTAGCTTGTTTTCAATGGAAAGTCTGGATTTTCTGTTTAGTCAGCTTCCTCACCATTTCTATCGGGCACGCAAGAAAGTACCCATGAACACGTGCACTTCACTGAGCTTATAATTTTATTTAAAACCTGAAAGAATAATAAAATAAAAACACATATAATAATTTTCTCTAACATGTGGGGCTACAGTCAATACCCACTGACTACAGATTTCAACCATTTTTTTTTTTCGGTAATACTACACCGAAGAATATTGGACACTTATCTGATAAGAAGAATATTGGACACCTGATGTTCGTTCCAGTATTTTTTTTTTGTGTGAATAAAAAGATAAATCCTGCATAATACAGAAATTCTATTTATTCGTTTATTGATATATGCGAATTTAAGGCTTCTCGTTAGAATCTTCCAATAATCTATGTACAGTAATAATTATTTTAAACAATATTTCTACTCTATTATACTTTTGGTTGAGGATGTAATGGGTATTTCAGGATAGATTAACACCAAGTTCTGCCTTGAATACTGTTACAAAAGTTGAACTTTGTTTACATCCTTGTGTATTATTTAGATAATCCTTATCTCTGTCAGGTTATTTTCTTTACATGTCAGGATAATAATTCCAATTAGTCTGTATTTTTGTTTTCGCTCAGTTAACATGGAGTGAGGTAATAGAGAAAACCGAACAGCTGTGATCGACTTACACAGAGTTGGAAAATGTAGGTCAGAGATTTTCAACACTTTGAAACCTTTGGGTATCAGCCGTTTGTTCGTGTACACTATAAATAGATATAATGAGACCCTATCTGTATTTAACAGACCTCGACCGGGCCGTCTCCGCACTGTGAGAACGGCAAATGCAATAAGAGCAATCCCATCCAAAATCAAAAAATCATGTCTCGGGAAATGGGAGTCTCTGTCAGATCAATGTTTCGTATAATAAAAAGTGCCCTTAGGATGGGTACATTTCGAATAATGGCAGGACAAAGGATAACCACTTCCTTAAAACAAAATAGAGTGAATAGATGTAAAGTGCTCCTTGGCCTTTACAAGAAAGATTTTGTTTAGCGATGAGAAAATATTTACAATTGGAGAAAAATTTAATTGTCAAAAGGATCGAAACGCACACAGCTCTAAAGAATCCCAGGGTCATTGGAAGGAGTGGAAAGAGGTCTTCACCCTTCCTCAGTGATGGTTTGATGGGGGATTTTCTTTGATGGCATCAGAAAGCTCCATTTAACTTTCCTCACAGTCGATATTTTGGAACCTGTTGTCAAGCCTCTAAATGATAATCTGTTTGCAGGAAGTCATTGGGTTTTCCAGCATGATTCCGCTCCAGCTCACAAGGTCAGGTCAACTCAGCAGTGGCTACAAAAGAACATTCCAGAGTTTATCTCTGCTTCGAATTGGCACTCAGGAAGCCCTGATCTCAGCCCACAAGATTATCTTAGAAGATGGCATGCCTCAATCTCTGGTCTGAGCAGTTGACCGTTTTCCTCAAGAAGGGCATCGTGCTGCTATTGATGACTGGCCACGGAGATTAAATGCGAGTGTCGAGGCAAAGGGGAACATTTTGAATAATTTCTTTTTTGTTTTAATCTCTATAGATATAATAAACTTTTTGAAAAAATTATTTTCTCTTTTGAAATCTGTATATATTTTCTTGTAACAATATTTATGACAGGACTAGGAGTTGACAAAAAAAAAATATAAATTATTTTCAGATCTTTATTTGATCCATTTATTCAATGCTGTAAAATAAAATATTTCCAGTTAAAAATATGGAATCACATATCAGAGGCAAAATTAACTTATCTCTTTCCTCACAATTACATATGTATTAGTAAATTACTATATACATATCGGCCCATGTAGATATATTCGAAAGTTACATGTATTCTGTAGCTATGTACACATATTTATCCAACAGATGGCAGGCTCAACGAGTGTAGTCTGAACACTTGTAGCACTTGCAATCGGCGGGTTCTCTCAGCCTCACATCCATGACGCCGACGTTGCTGGTCAGCCGAACGCCATCCGGGTCGTAGCAGTGTTCCAATCGTACGGTTCTTTCCCGGAGAAAGCTCTCTCTGCAGCAGTAGCACTCCTGCAGAAGTTTCATTTATTATAATATAAATTTATTATAAAATATTTCCAGTCCAAATAACCAAGTCCCGCAAAATGGTCTTTGTGTGTGTTAACAGTCTAGCTCAAAAACGAAAAGTCGTACGAAAGTGGAATTACATATTGAAGGTTTGTATGTGCCTGGGATGTTACAGCAACCTTTTCGTCAAAATCGGCTAACCGTAAGTGACACTTTATATAATCGATTTAACACATTTTTACGATTTTCTTGAAAACGGCTGTAACGATTTTGATTAAATTCATTGTATCTGTGTAAAATTAAACAGTTTTTTATATAATGTAGGTTTTATTGTCATTGATGTTTTCTAACAATGTTTAAATCCCTAATTTTTTATTTTTTTCTCTCTAAAGTACCTTTAATTCATTTTATTTCAAATAATTATAATTTAAATAGGCTAAATAGTGGCAAAACTATTTCATTAAAAGACAACGTTTCGACCCAACTTTTCAGGTCTTCTTCAGAGAGGTGTGTTCAGCCAGGAGTTTCACTTAGAACTCAAGTTCTAAGTTCTATGGGAACTGCGAGCCCCTTTTTTTCGAACGGAAGACGTTGCCATTTGTTCAGACCAAATTTTTATTATTGATTAAGTAAAACTCCAAACTCTAAAAAATCTTTATACATTTTTTTTTTTTTTATTTATTCATGATATTTACAACTGTATTAAAAAATTAAATACATTAAGTAAATTTGATAACTGAAAATAAAAGCATGAAATGACTTGTTGAGAAACTACCCACTGGTAGCACTCTAAAAACAAAATGTATTTACAATAAGAGATCTCGAGGCCGTCTTCTTTTCAGACGCCTCGGAGGATTATCAGGAATAGAAGAGGAAGCAAGGTTAGAGACGAGAGGATTCGGATGGTTCTGAAGTTTATTATGGAAGGATTGGTATCTAGATTGGGCCAAATCGGAAACATAAGGAACATTAAGGTCATTACGGATTATTTTATTGGTGACAAAATAAGGAGCATTGAGGATTTAGGATTGTAAGGATTGGATACGAGAGGAATTAGATGGCTTAGTGGAGCCCCAAAGCTCAACTCCGTAAGTCCAAATAGGTCTTATTGTAGTCATGTATATAAGTCTTTTGTAATTAACTGGAAGCTTAGAGCGTTTGTCTAGTAAGTGTTGGAGTAGTCAGAAACGTCGAGCGGTTTCTTGTCGTTTCAGTCTGGTATGAGGATTCCAAGTTAGACGTTTGTCCAAGTGAAGTCCCAAGATATCGGATTTGTTCAACAGGGATAAGTGGGGTATTATTAAAGGATACTGTGGGACACGAGGTCATAGGTTTATGTCGAAGGGTAAAGGTGATTTGATGGGATTTATTAGAATTTATTTTAATCCTCCAGTTTTGACACCATTCTTCAAGGCTTGTGATGTGCGACTGAAGAGTTTGAGATGCAATTTTATACATTTAAATTTAAAAAAAAAACAATCAACTCGTGATATCTAACAATTTTAACTTGAATGAAACATGGCCCCGCTTATGTTAAGGGAAAAGCAAGACTTTAAAAAAAAACCTCTTTTTATACTGTTGATATGAGATGTATAAACTGCGTTTGCATTTACCCAATCTTATGTTTTTCATTTCGAATTATGTCTGAATATGTGAAACTTTATCTGGTTAGTTATTTACTGTTGTTTGTGAGAACCAAGGTGTTGTTTTTTAACTAAAGATAATCGCATAAGTGAACTATCTTCTAAGATACCTTCAAGAAGCCAGTGGGGGTGATGACGCTGGGTTGGACCTGGGAGTTGCAGGCGCCTTCGCACTTGTTGACCGCGATGTCCCCACTGCAAGTTCTCTGCAGGCGGCCCAGGTCGTCGAACTCCTCTGCAAGAACAGATAACACATCCATGATAAGAGTATCGAAAAGGAGGCGTAAAAAAAATATGAGGATAACCATATAAAACAAAAATATAACAAAAATATAAACAGTTGTGTTATAAATGGAAAAATCCAAAATATTAACTATGAGTCTCTATCAAGAGTTAATAGTCCGTGGTACAGACCCCTTTTTATCAAATTATTAACATCCGCCTGAAACTTTATAAATAGCTTATTCCCTTCCTAACCTACAAATATTTTATTTACGAAAATTTCCGGAATTGTGGTGTTTTCATTCTGGATATCTGCAAAATTTGTCTATTTACTTAGCTACTAAAAACCCATTAACACCCATTTGCTTTCCAATTGGATCGTAAGATAATTAAATCATAAAATCTATGAAAAAGGTGGCCTACAAAAATATTGAAATTTTTGGCCTATATAACCTCGTTATTTAGACAATTTGGAGGTGTAGGCCAAGACAAACGGCTGAATCTTTTTGAAGGTCACATTTTTTCTCGACTTGTGACGAGCTTTTATATATATAGTCCGTATTACAGACCCCTTTTTATCAAATTATTAACATCCGCCTGAAACTTCATAAATAGCTTCTTCTCTTCCTAACCTACAAATATTTTATTTACGAAAATTATCGGAATTGTGGTGTTTTCATTCTGGATATCAGCAAAATTTGTCTATTTACTCAGCTACTAAAAACCCATTAACACCCATTTGCTTTCCAATTGGATCGTAAGATAATTAGATCATAAAATCTATGAAAAAGGTTGCCTACAAAAATATTGAAATTTTTGGCCTATATAACCTCGTTATTTAGACAATTTGGAGGTGTAGGCCAAGACAAACTGCTGAATCTTTTTGAAGGTCACCTTTTTTCTCGACTTGTGACGAGCGTTTATATATATAGTCCGTATTACAGACCCCTTTTTATCAAATTATTAACATCCGCCTGAAACTTCATAAATAGCTTATTCTCTTCCTAACCTACAAATATTTTATTTACGAAAATTTTCGGAATTGTGGTGTTTTCATTCTGTATATCAGCAAAATTTGTCTATTTACTTAGCTACTAAAAACCCATTAACACCTATTTGCTTTCCAATTGGATCGTAAGATAATTAGATCATAAAATCGATGAAAAAGGTGGCCTACAAAAATATTGAAATTTTTGGCCTGTATAACCTCGTTATTTAGACAATTTGGAGGTGTAGGCCAAGACAAACGGCTGAATCTTTTTGAAGGTCACCTTTTTTCTCGACTTGTGACGAGCTTTTATATATATAGTCCGTATTACAGACCTCTTTTTATCAAATTATTAACATCCTGCTGAAACTTCGTAAATAACTTCATCTCAGCGTAATCTATAAATATTTTATTTACGGAAATTCTCGGAATTGGGGTGTTTTCATTCTGGGTATCAGCAAAATTTGTCTATTTAATTAGATATTAAAAACTCATTAACACCCATTTGCTTTCGACTTGGATCATAAGATAATTAGATCATAAAATCTATGAAAAAGGTGGCCTACTAAAATATTGAGATGTTTGGCCTATATAACCTTGTTATTTTGACAATTTGGAGGTGTAGGCCAAGACAAACGGCTGAATCTTTTTGAAGGTCACCTTTTTTCTCGACTTGTGACGAGCTTTTATATATATAGTCCGTATTGCAGACCCCTTTTCATCAAATTATTAACATCCTGCTGAAACTTCGTAAATAGCTTCATCTCAGCGTAATCTATAAATATTTTATTTACGGAAATTCTCGGAATTGGGGTGTTTTCATTCTGGGTATCAGCAAAATTTGTCTATTTAATTAGATATTAAAAACTCATTAACACCCATTTGCTTTCGACTTGGATCATAAGATAATTAGATCATAAAATCTATGAAAAAGGTGGCCTACTAAAATATTGAGATGTTTGGCCTATATAACCTTGTTATTTTGACAATTTGGAGGTGTAGGCCAAGACAAACGGCTGAATCTTTTTGAAGGTCACCTTTTTTCTCGACTTGTGACGAGCTTTTATATATATAGTCCGTATTGCAGACCCCTTTTCATCAAATTATTAACATCCTGCTGAAACTTCGTAAATAGCTTCATCTCAGCGTAATCTATAAATATTTTATTTACGGAAATTCTCGGAATTGGGGTGTTTTCATTCTGGAGATCAGCAAAATTTGTCTATTTAATTAGATATTAAAAACTCATTAACACCCATTTGCTTTCGACTTGGATCATAAGATAATTTCACCATAAAATCGATGAAAAAGATGGTCTACAAAAATATTGAGATGTTTAGCCTATATAACCTTGTTATTTTGACAATTTGGAGGTGTAGGTCACGCTGAATATTTTTTAAGGTCACCTTTTTTTCTCGACTTGTGACGAGCTTTTATATATATAGTCCGTATTACAGACCCCTTTTTATCAAATTATTAACATCCTGCTGAAACTTCGTAAATATCTTCATCTCATCGTAATCTAGAAATATTTTATTTACGTTAATTTCTGGGAATTGGTATTTACGAGTTTTTAGTGCATAGTTAAATACGCAATGTTGACTGACTTCCAGATTGATAACGCCACAATTACGAAAATTTTCGTAAAATATTTATGGGTTACAAAGAGATATAGCTATTTACGAAGTTACAGGTGAGCGTTAATAATTTGATAAAATGATCTGTGTACCTCGGACTATAACCTCCCAACGTTTCGGCCATCAGGTTTCTCCAAGACAGAAAAAGCAAGATCACATATTTGCAGAAAGAAAAGAAAAAAAGGATCCAAAATATTACACAATGGTTCATTTATTTTCAAAGTATTTAATATTAACATTAACATTACTTTCCATGTAAAATTAAGGAAAATAAATAAAAAGGGATTCCTAACATTGACCTAAATATTTTTTTTTATCATTGATAACTTGCTAAAAAAAACAAAAAAACATGTTGCTTCAGTTAATGTAAAACTTTCAAAAAATAAAAAACCAAAACAAAAGATAAAAAAGATAATATTTAGAATAAATATATAAAAATATTTAGAACACCATATCTTTGTACCAAATTGTCTGATTTCAATGATTTTTTTATGTTTTAGAATGTTTTGTAAAATTTAAAAAAACATTTACAACATAAAAAAAAAATGAGTTTACTTCTTGAGTTATTCGGAAATCTAATTTTACCATCCTTCGTAACTTTTTTACAGCGTCTTTTCGTTGAAGTACGTTATATAGATAAATTTAAAGGGCATCGAGAAGAAGATTTCAGCCAAGTTTCATTGAAATTAGTAAATACGTTTGGGTGCTAGTCAACTAACACAGATTTTTCGACCGCCATCTTAAAATCGAAGGGCGGATGGTAATGTCGAAGTAAGAGGATCATCATCGGTTGACCTATGATTTTGACTCCAAATAAGAAAAATTGGAAGAGTTAAATGTAAAAGTGTATTGCTTCTACCAATTTTTTACAGATAGTAACTAAAATTTTCGAGTATTAGTGTGACTATTTTACCTTAATTTTTATTCACAAAAACTTTTTTTTTTTTTTTTTTTGCAGGGTCCAGTCTTGGTATTGCAAAAATTTGGCAAAGTGCAAGACCAAGACCAATTTTGGGTAACACTAATAGACATCTTTAGAAGCCATCCAAAAAAATACTGAACAAAACAGAAGGTTCTTTTAACACAGCTAAGGAATATTATATGGAACAAAGTATTAGCAGAAATATAAGATAAAAAAAAAGCATTCTTAAAATATAATAATGCAAAACATGTTGAATTAAATAAATTGAATTAAAAAAAAAATATTTTTATTTTTTTTAAGTGAAAACTTCTTTCGGCGCGTTTGCACTTAATTGTGAAGAGTGAATTAGATTTATAGTGTAACGCTCGAGTAAAGTCGGCTGGAGTACGACTAATTGAAGTGTTTTTGAATATGGATTAAAATATCTCAAAAACTATAAATCGGATCTGCATACTGTAAGCAAGGGAAATGTTCAGCATTTCATCCTCTTTGTAATGAGCTTTGTATTAGAGAGACAAAAAAGTAGAAATATTGTGTCAGATACGGGCGAATCAAAGGGGGGGAGAGTGGGCTTTTGAGGTGAATCCCCTCTCCCAAAATGGTAAAATATATTCATTTCTTATGAAAAAATATTTAAATATTTAATAATTACTCCTAAAAGTCTTATTGTTCATTTAATTACATTTAATATTACTTAAACTCTATTTCATATAGGAAGTTAGTTTCTATCTTTTTCTTCCGTAATTATCGTTATATATTTTTTTAAAAATATATTTCGGGCTGAAGCCACCCCCCCAAAACTAAATCCTGGATCCACTACTGGTGTCGGAAACCAAATCACAACGAATTTCATACTAAATATTGTCATATTAAATACGAGAACATACATATCATCACATATTTTAGTTATCATAAACCTATTGTTTCATTTTTAGAATATGGTACTGAGTTCGTATGATCAGTCGGAGCAAAGTTTACTAGAGTTATTTAAACACTATTATATATATAAATTACATATATATAATTTTATATATTGTAAATGTTATTACTTTTTCAATTTAGAACAAAAACGAAATATTTATATTTCATATTATTAAGTCAGCTCTGTTGATGTTTTCACTTCTATCATGTGATTTTAAGCACACACCGACGATTTTTTTTTTTTAATTAACTTTATTTAATTTCACATTCTTTATATTTTTTATTTTATTCCTGCAAATCAGCTGTTCAATATAATCTTCGTTAGCTCTGTTATTTCTTTCGGCATATATTTGGATGGCTTTGGAAGATATCAACAGATTTTTGTTTCTTTCTTTCTGTATATTTGTGATATTTTTTTTTTCTGTACTGATGATGCCTGAATTGATAGGTTAACTATTCACTTATATGATAAAGATTCCTGGCTTTATATTTTGGGTTTTTCCATTTCTAACATAATAATTTTAAAATTTTCGAGCTGTATTATTATTTTAGTATTAGTTTATAATTTTTAAAAAAATATCACCCTTA